CCGATGCCATTGCACAGGTGCCCGGCGTCGTGGACCGGGGCCGCGCGCGACAGGGTGGCCAGGCATGCGAGCATGGCCGCCAGCAGTAGGGGCAGGCACCGGTGCAGGAGGGACCGGCTGCCGGCGGCGCTGGCCGGCGCAGTCGACGGGGGCGCCATGGTGTACGGGGCAGGCGGGCACAAAGGGGGGGGGGGGACCTCTCGCTTTCGGGCCGGGGACTCTTGCTTTCCTAGGGCGGCGTGGCTGGGGGAGGGGGGGGGGGGGGGGGGGATGGTGAACAGAAAGGGCCTCGAGTGGTGGAAGCCTGGATGCCCTGGATCTCAGCGGGACTGGCGCCCGGCCGGGGGCTTTTATATGCCGGGCCGTGTTGGCTGCTGGCGGCATGCCCGCATGTGCGAGCGAGTGCAGCGGTGGTGGTGACGGCGGCCGGTTCGCCGGGCCAGGCGGGGGTGTTGCGCGGAGGGGCGCCCGCTCGGGCGGGCGGGCGGGCGGGTGGGCGCACGCGCGCGCGCGCGTGCCCACGCCCGAGTGCATTCCAGCCGTTTTGGTCAGGGGCGTGCTGCTCGGCGGCGCGGCGGGCGCTTTGAATTCGGATTTTCCCCGGAGTCCCACGTCTAGGGGCAATTAATGAAAGGAGCGCGCAGGCGGCAAAGCGCCTGACCGTGTGGCATCCGAGAGTCGCGGGCCGCAGGCCGGGGGGCCGAGGGCTGGAGGCTGGGCGCCGGGCGCCGGGCGCCGGGGTGCCAGGGTCGAGGCGCGGCCCCGGGGGAGGGAGCAAGGGCCAGGGCGAGTTCGGCAGGCCGGCCGAGGGCCGGGTGTCCCTGCGGGCCGAGCGCCGGCATGGCGCCCTGTGCACCCATGCCCGCGCGGGGGCCAGGCCATCGCGCCGGCCAGCCCCCCTGCAGCCCCTGCGGGCATGCCCTGGGCAAGGCCCGGCAAAGGGCATGCGGCCGTGCGTCGATCTGGGCGCGATCGCCGATGGCGTCCGTCACAGGCCTGGGGGGCGCTGAGATCCGGCCCCCCCCCCCCCCCCCCCCCCCCGCCCCGCCACCACCGCCGAGTGCCTGACACGGTGTCTGCGCTGGCCTGCTCCCCTTGACAATCGCCCGGCCACGCGGGGCGTCGGGCCCGGCAGGGTCAAGGCGATGTGTGCCGTGCCGGCGGTCACCGACAATGGGGCGGTGCCGGTGGGCAGGCGCCCGGGCGGCCGGGCAAGAGCGACCCCGGGGCCAATGGTTAAATATTGCCAGGACAACAGCCGCGGGGGAGGGGCCTGGCGGGGGCAGGGCGCGTGGGCGTGGGCGTGGGCGTGGGCGTGCGGGCCCAAGGGGGCGCCGCGATCGCAGGGGCCCGGCACTCGGGAGCCGCATGACAGGTCCCCGCGGTGCGCATGGGGGCGCGCGCGCGCGCGCGCGGTGGCGTATTCAAGTGGCCCGGGAGGGGGCCGCCGGGGCCGTGCCACCCTGGGCGCCGGGGGCGTAAACAAAGGCCCGAAATGCCGGCCACACGGCCGGGCCGCGAGCGAAAAGGGTGCCGGTTGCGGCGCCAGCGCGCCGGCCCCACACCGACCGCCGGGCCTGCCTCGCGCCCCGCCCCCCGCCCACGAAGCATGGCCGAGCCCCTGCCTCGGGTGCGCTGAGCTGTCTGTGTGTCTGTGTGTCGGTGTGTCGGTGTGTCGGTGTGTCTGTGTGTCTGTGTGTCTGTGTCGGTGTGTCGGTGTCGGTGTGTCGGTGTGTCGGTGTGTCGGTGTGTCTGTGTGTCTGTGTGTCTGTGTCGGTGTGTCTGTATTGGGAAATGGGTGTATCTGTGGCGGGTTTGTGGGTATGTCTCGACAGAGCGTCTCTCTCTTTCCCAACCGCCCTCGCTTCCCCCAGCCCGCGCACACAGCCCCTGGGCTGGCATGGCCGCCCGAGCGTATGGCAACCCGCGAATTGGTCGCATTTCTGACGCCGAGCCCTCCCTCACATCGAGGGGCGCCGGGATCGGGGGCCTAACGGGCATGCCGGTGCGCCCGCGCCCTCCTCCCGTTGACTGGCCATTCCCTTGGCTCTGGCCGCGGGCGGCCCAGACCCAGCCACCGGCTTGCC